GGAACAAATGACAATGACAAGATAATTTTCAAGTTTATTCATGGACACCGCGGCAAATAACGTGAATGTTTTGTTTACATACAGAAGTAATTACAGCTGAAGAATGCTATCATTTGCATTAAATTAAACCAATGCATTACATTAATTATCATTAAAGCGCCCATTGTTAATCAGATGTATAGGTTTTAACTATTTGTGCCTCAGCCAAGGCAGGTCTTCGGTGCCTCATTAACGCTGATGAGACCCACTTTAAAACTAAATCCCCACATTTCCAGGACATACTTGGTACAAGTGACATTTTTTGTTAGCGTTTTCACAGCTCCGTGAAGTTGGCCCCCCTACAGACAGCACAAACGATGAAACCCACCTCATTCATTAGTGCTACGTTTGTGCCGGTTTGTGCTGTTGAAAGTAGCGTTTGTGCTGTTTTCGTTCCCGAGATATAGCACCTTGTTTTCCCGGTGATCACATGACCATACACAGCGACTTTGACCTCGTCTGCCGAGTTCAAGCGCTCTGTTACAGTTTAGCTCGTACCCTTAACATTTTAAAGACAATCAATATCCATAAACATATGAGCCGCCTTAGATGTGATTTATACTTAGACATGACGCACGCCAACAAGTTAACTATCTATGACATAAAACTGTGGTTATAATGTATGTAAAATCACCGTGATTGTAAGATCAATGTTTTTTTATTATCTAAGACACGCTTTTCTTTTCTTTCCCTACCGTGACACGCTGTTTCCAAATGCGTAACTGTGGGATACCATCGCGACAAGACCTCCGCAGCATGTCATGATAGGGACCCCATGTATAAGGCATGTATATCGCGGCAGTGTATATCACGAGTGGCGCCTTGCTTCCATGGCACCCTGGCACCACTGTCACAACAAAGGTCTCATATCAGAACATGATATACCCAGATAGGACGTGTCCCGATATATGGACTTTGTGTGTCGCATATATGGACTCCAAGTCTCGATATGGGGGCGGGACATTTTGTCGGGGTATGTCATATCGGGATATACAGGTTTCATGTCGCGACATGGGCGTGGCAGTTTTGGTCATATCGCGATATACAGGGCTTCAAGTCGCGACATGGGCATGGCAGTTTTGGTCATATCGCGATATACGGGGCTTCATGTCGCGACATGGGCGTGGCATTTTTGGTCATATCGCGATATAGAGTCTTTCATGTCGCGACATGGGGCTGGGCATTTTTGCCGGGGGATGGCATATCGCGATATACAGTCTTCATGTCGCGACATGGGGGTGGGCGTTTTGTTGGGGGTACGCTATATCGCGATATGCCGTCTCCATGTCGCGACATGGGGGCGGGGGCGGTTTGTCGGGGTATGTCATATCGCAATATATGGACTTAATGTCGCGCCAGTCGCAATGGGTATCGCCATGTGATCGTGATGCGCGCACTCCTATCGTGACATGCTATCGGAGTCCTGAACGCGCTGTGGATGCCATGACATTCTTTGTCTGCTATTCTGTTTAAACCTCAGGGCGACTTTGTGCGAGATTGATCAGTAATCGGAAACCAATGGATGTGTTACTGTTACTGTGTATCCAGCGTGCTCATACAGCACACAAGGTACACAGAACTTCCGCTGTGGCGCTTTAACCAATCAGAGTGACGATTCTCACTCTTCACCCAATCGCGGCCCGAGCTGTTCGGGGGTTTAGCCAACCACGGGTCCGAGAGCTGTCCAAGCCAGCAGCCCCAGGTGGATCGGCTTGTTCACTGTCAATGAGAAACTATTTTTAAAATGCTTTACTTATTTGCAAAATAACTACATCGGCTTGTTTTTATTGACGTCTTTATTGATTCACAATGTCCCGTACCCTTCGAAATAAATACATTTATTTGCAGTATAACTGTCTCCGCTGCTTTCCGTAATGAATACGTGGTATTTGAACAATTTTAATCGTATATTTAAGGTATGGGAAACACCTTCTGCTTTGTACTTCAAAAATAAAATATAAATGTAAGTCTATGATCGTTATATTATTATGCTCGTACTTTCAATTCTGTTTTTAATTGTTAAATTATCTCGATCTTGAAACCAATACCTAAAAATGTGAATATGGGCTCTCGTGTTGTACAAGCGGTCATTTGGAAACTGGTGTCTCTTCAGCAATGAAACGAGTACACAAGCAATACATTTTCGAGAACATGGTTAAATGTAAGACTGTTTATTCATGTAAAGGCTGCAAAGTCTGGGGTCAACTGATCAAAATCAAAGAAGGTGCTATATCTCGGAAACAAAAGCAGCACAAACACTACTTTCAACGGCACAAACGTAGCTCTAACGAATGAGGTGGATTTCATCGTTTGTGCTGTCTGTAGGGGGGGGCAACTTCACGGAGCTCATTTTCACTAACTGAGAACAAGAGGGCATGATAGAACAAGTGAACGTACACAGTCACGTTAAGGTCTCTCTTCATGATGATTATACCTTGAAATATACAGATAAAAACTTTCAAATGTGGCAATTAAAAAAATAAAAGAGTATCAATCAGAATATCAGCAATGTGCTATAAGCAGACACATGTTAAAGATTTTCGGAGTACCAGGTTCAGGTGGTAATACCTCAATGGGAGTGAGGCATTATGCAGGGTTACCAGAAGACACTCACAGTTAGACAGTTCAGCAGAGCAGACCAATGAAGGAAGAAAGAGAAAACTCAGGGCAACAGAGAACAAATATTAACACCGTGTCAAGAACTCAGCTCACTTAAATACAGAATCACTTTTTCCAATTAGTCAATACCTACAATTATTTCTTCAATTCCAGGCACCAGCATCTAACTAAACTAATGAATATCCTCAGGTCACTCTTTTTAACCTCCTATTCTAACAGAACCAGCCAATACATCACACCAGTTCTCACAGGGGATGTTTTTACACCCAGTCTAGCCAGCTGTGTAGGATAAATCTCAGTCTTACACAGCAGACAAAGGTGCTCTAAAAGCTGCTGATATATTGACCTTCCGTTCTGTTTTTAATGCCTCATAGCCATAAGTAAGAATTTATAACAATCCTTTCATGTTGTTCTTCCTTGTAAAGAAATACATCTGGAAAAGGGATCCCTTGACTAGACAACATTCCTTCTTATAATATTTTTTTTTATTTTTGAGTGTGTCACATTGATATCTGTTACATATAAGGAGCACTAGGAATTTATTAAACAGAAAAATGTGCTTCATTCTGCACACAACTGTCAAGTATAAGAAACAATCCACACTCTCTTTCCTGGTGGTGCACTGCAGCAATAATGTGACATTTGTATCCTCATTCTTCACAGGAAGGTCATCACAGTCCCTTTCTTCCCAACTTGCCAGGGTTCGAGAGGCCAGAACCGGAGGACAATCCTATAAGGAGGAAAATGAGAAATCTTGAGCCCCATTTGTAAGCCATTCACATGGCCCAATCGCAATCATTGTGTCCCCAAACTCGACAACTTTGTTACCAAATTCTTAAAATATGTTAACATTAGAAATCTAACCTGAGGATGATACCTTCCTTTGTGTAAAAGAAACTCTTAAGGCGCTATTTAATTTAACAGCAGGGCTCTTAATAATAAAAAGTATCTGAATTTTCCATATCTTCCTTAAGCCTGCTGGGACAGGCTCCGACTCCCCTATGACCCTGAACTGGAAGTGGTTAGAAAATGGCTGGCCGAATTTTGTGTGAAATTGTGTAAAACTCTGTGGTGGTTTTATTTTTCCCCATAACTGCGTGGTAACATGTGTAATGTGCAGCATCTATCTAAGACACACAGCCTCCAGTGCCACTCTCGGACAGTGGAGGGGCTGGAGGGTACTTGAGGATGCTCTTGAGTGCACTGACCTGTCTTCGCTGAGCCCCAGCTCCTGGGTGAGGAACTGGAAGATCTTGGCGCTGTGCTGCTTGTTCTTCTCCGCACTGTCCACCACCCCAATGGCAGAGACAGTGACCTGCACACAAGGAGCTGAGGAGCCAGCCATGAGCATGGACAGGCCTGCCCTCACAGTCAAGTTCATCCTCTGTGGAGGAGAAGCCGAGAACAGCAGGAGTCAAGCACACACAACTGTCCTCTCCAGCCTGGCTAGTCAACAGCTGCTATTAATAATAATAATAATAATAATAATAATAACCATCCCCAGACATTACTGAAGTCACAAAACACAGCTTTTATTTTCATAATTTTGTTTTCCAATTAAAAATTGGAACAGTAAAAAAACAGTAAAAAAAAAAAAACAGACCCTACATCATGAAAAAATATCTCGTCACACAGAAACTTTAGGGGGTATGTGCAATTCATCAAATACACATTCACCGATAATCTGGCAGTGGCATAATTAAAAAAAAATGTGAATCCGTGGTTAGAATTCTGGACTCTTAATTGGAAGGTTGTGGGTTCAAATCTCTGGGGGGTCACTGCTGCGTTTCCCTTGAGCAAAGGTACTTCACCCGAAATCTCCCAGCTGTATGAATGAATGGGTGAATGCAAAGCTAAACCCGTTTGGATGAAAGCGCCAGACAGATACATAAGTGAAAGGGGAAACGTAGCTTTCCATCATCAACACTATGCGATTTCCTTCCTTTTAAAACGAACTTTATTTTGCATACAAACTACTCGATATGGAAGTGCCCAATCCGAAACAATCTATCGTCCAAGTTCGAGGACGCTTCACGCACAATCAGAACTGCTTCAGCTGCATCCAATATGCCGTGAAAGCAGTTCAGTCTCACACTCACGTCCTCGGGCTTCCCTAGTACCGCCGCCGTGCTGGAGCACATCTTTTTCAGAAACTCGTCGGGAAATTTGCTCGAAGGCAGGTTGCTCTCCAGATCGATGAACGGCATGGCGTCTCTCCACAAACTTTGTTATCAATCAGACGAAAGAAGTTACAGACCCTAAGGGACTATACAAGGACACCTCAAGCCGGAAAGCGGTGCAACTTCACTGCTCATTGGCTGCGTCCGCAACGCCTGTTCCGTGGCGTTCTTAAAGGCGCAGAGAGCAAGGAAAACTCCTTCAGTTTTGAAAGCAAGTATGTCTGGGTTAAATATGTCTGCCATACGACTTCATAAGTTAATTATTGCCAATAATTATTCTGACCATTGAACATTGAATACTGAATCAAGTGTAGCGTTACTGAGCTCCAAGATCGAATTATTCGTCTATTCAGGAACAATGTGTGTGCACAGGACGTAACCTTCTCTTTATCAGAAGCTCATTTATAACGAAAAGGTGGTCCGGACTGAGAAAAAAAAACTCTCTCTTTTGTGTGCATGGACAAAATTCTGCGATGTGCTTTTATGGAACCCTGACATTCCATGATTTCTCTCATGAATCATGCTTGCTTCAGTTGCTGGAGCTCTACTCAGAAATTGCATGCTATAAATATACGTTTTTACTTAAGACATTTTTACTTTTTGTAACCTAAAATTTATGAGGAATGTTGGAAGTAAGATGTTTCGTTTCTAAACTATGCTTTTATCTTTTTTTCTGCTCCCAAGAGCTGGGTGAAGTTGGTCACATCCTCTACTCTATGAAAAATGCTCTACAAACCTTTTGGAGGGAAAGTTCTGTATAAATTATGTAGATCTTTAAAGAAGAAACCCACTGATCCAGATATGCATGACTTAAGGGATAGGGGTGTTTTTTTTCACATTGATTGGTACGGTCATCACATAAAGTGGAAATGCATGGTATTCAATCCAATATAGAACTCTATTAAAATAACCAAATACCACACTTGAAAAACAGGTTCCTTATTAATCACACAATGTACACATTTAATGTATGGCAGTGTTGCATCCCAATTAATTTTAGCATAGCGATTCCCAAAACAACTTCCTGTGGTCATGCAACACATTCCTAGGGTTGCGTTTAACAAGGTGTAGGATATAATTCATGAAACTGGTTAATAGTGAGTCACATCATGTGTTGTGTCTCTGTTGTCATCAAATTAGGGCTAGATTTGTTTTACAGTAATATCTCCGTTTATATACATTGTTTGTTTCTGCTTTAAAGACTCAAGCCTTTCAACAGTTACTTTTTTCAAAATAAATATTTCAGAATATTACATTTGACCGCTGGCAGCAAAAGATATGAACATGTTTCCAAAACATTTTAAAAGTTAAAATTATTTATTTTACCGTAAATCCTGATAATTTACATTTTGCACAAGAAAAACAAAGAAAGGGGTTGATACAGCAATGAGATAATCCCCTTATTGACAAATAGTGTTGATGGCGAGTCAAGTACAACCACAGAAGTATTGACTGAACATGTTATCATTTATTTTAATTCTGCAAGGAATGGCTTCAAAAATCCTTCCGTCAAACCAGTGATGATACACCTACAATGAGAATAAGACCATGATTATTTACATTATAAAATAATTATACTGTCAATAAATAGCAAGTTGCACAAATGTTTCTTCCACAAACAAGGGTGTTATTGTTAAAGAACACTGAAGATTACAAGTAAACTTCAATGAAGAATTTTGAAATCTTCAAAGGCACTGACAAAACTAACAGTGTGGACTACTTCTGGCTCAACAGCAAAACCAGTAGAACCAACCAGTAACACTGAGAACAAGAGTCTTCTTCACACAGAGTTGTGGGTGTCTGGAACAAGTTACCCAGACACACCACTGATGCCAATAACCTGGCCTTTTTTTTTTAAGAAGGAGGCTAGATAAGATCCTTGGATCACCCTCCAGACAACCAAGGAGCTAGCTGAGCCAAGAGAACTCCTCTCATTTATTTTTTTTTATATTCACTGAAAGTAAAATGGACCGAAATAAACAGGGGGGCTGCCGTGAAATGTTATCTAATGTAAAATAAAAATAAAAAAAAATCCAATATTTACTTCTGCATCGCATACACACCACAATTTCATACTCATCCCATGTTAAGAAGGGAGATGTCACCACTCTTAAAAGTCGGGTATGTCGTTAAACCCCAAGGCAACACAGCCTCGTTGTGTTGAGAAGGGGGCGCAGGTCGGTCAGAGGCGAGGGGGTTGTTGGGCTCACCGTGTGAAAACTTGCACTGCTTGAGGGCCTCGCTGAAGCCCTCGCAGAGCGTGAGGTCCGACTGCGTGGTGGCGCACTCCAGGAACTGCTTCACCTCGAAGTGGCAGGGGCCCGGCTGCTGCACGGAGGAGCTTCTCGGGGGCTCCTGGGGGGACACAAGCAAAGCACACGGTTACCAGCCGCTGACCCATCGGCTCCTGGCCACATTCAAGGAAATCAAAGACGAACGTACGTCTGCAAGCAAGCGCATGCAAAATCAAGGTAAAAATACAGAAACGCTTAACAGAGGATAAAGCCAAGGAATTTAGAATCCAGACACGAGCATCCATACTGCGACTCTGGAGAAACCCTCACCTTATTTTGTCTAACAAATGGAACGCTACAGCGCTGCCTTCTTAAATGGGCTAAACGTAGAGCCTGAAAACATGACATCCTCTTGACATATGCAGTAACTTTCACGGAAGCCAATTAGTAGTTCTGCCCAGAAACAGCGGGGTTTGTCCCCGTTAGCCTGCCCACGGATGGGCTCTGCCCCACCTGGGACGGACAGGTTGTCCCACCTGATGGGCGCTGGCGGGTTTCGCCGGCTCCGCGCCGCCGCTGCCGCTGAAGGCTCCGGTCAGGGCACTGCCGACAACGTGTCCCACCGCCGACCCCACCGCCACCCCGGCTGCGGTCGTGGCCATCTGCGCCATGAGACCGGGCTGCTTCGGCTGGGCTGGGGCAGTAGCCAGGGCTGCAGGCGGTGCCGCCATTGGTGGCGAGGCATGAGAGGGAGCGGGGTGGCTGCAAAAGACCCAACAGCCCCAGCACAGTGCAGGTTATCTACACCGGGAAAACTCCGTCAAACCCGACAGCCCGGCTAAACATCATACAAAACTGCAGTAAAACAGAACATAAGCAAGAACTTTATGCGTGTGTTACACACGAGAATAATTAAACGCAGGTGCATCTATGCATAAAGAGGTGATAATCTGAATTGGACATACCCTTCCTTGAAACGCCGGGTATAACGTGTTCAAACACAGTTTGCGTCGAATTTCCGTGTTACGAAACATCAGGTGTAAATAAATCTAGAGGGACCCAATCTTGAAAGAGTAGGCTAGATGTTCAAAATCATGAAAACAAGACATATCCCAGTTCTTTATTGGAATTGTGTTACGCAACATACAGTACTGAACTCAGGACGCCCTTGACTGAAAGTTACAGGACTCAGGAGCTGCAAGTAACGCGTAAATGTGTCATGATCCACACAGTGACCTTCGTTTAGTTATAATGTTTAGTGAAAAGGAGATGGGAGATACACAAATTTTCGGTGGACACAGAAGACATTATAGACATTAGTACCTTTAAGGTGCACTAATCGACAAATAATACTCCCCTTAATATTGGATGTTACCCCTCGTTTGACATCTACAGTATGTTCTGCGTCACAGTCAGTACGTGCGTTGTTCTATCAATATTAAATTATTTTGCATGTAGCAATTACAAAAAAATACTTTACCTAGCTACAGGCGAGGGTCTGCTACGGCTTCCTCTGGCCATTTTTAGCTGCTTGTTTTACAGATCGTCACTATAGGAGCTGCAGTCGAGTCAGTATCCCAGCGCGCTGTACATGCACTTGGTTTAAATGGCTTTCTGCGCCCACACGTGTGTGCGTGACCTTGTGAAGACGCTTCTGTTGCGCAGGCGCGCAATGAGCCCAGCTGTGAAGTACAGTCCTCGCATGCTCCTTCTGGTTTTGATTTTGATTTTTTATTTTTTGCAATTATTCGAGTCGTGTCGGCCTCTATTGAGTCAGAACCCGACTCCGCCTAGCAGTCAAGTTTGGTCTGGGTGTGCAAATTTGGTTTGGTTGTGGGATTGTTGCAAAACTTTCCAGAAGTTTCTAGAATGCTTGGCTTTCTAGGCTTGGCAAACCTGAAGACTTGCCAAATGAATGTGATTAGACTGACATATGACACGATTAGCGAAACGAGAATAAAATCACATGGGAGCGTCCGGCTTAAACCAAATCCAGTCACCCTGATATTCATGGAAAGCAATTAAAGCGTTACGCAAAAATATGCAGATTACGCTTACTGACAATTATATTTTAATTTCAAATGTACAAGAGAGCTCATCTCTTCTTCTATTATTTTTAATCAGAATCAGTGTCCTAAATTTTAAGTAAAATGAACATGAAAGCAATTTAAAAATTGAATTTTGATAGCTGAAGTTGTACAGATTTATTAGTTTTCTTCTTTCTTTTGTTGTTTTTTTTGCAAACATGGCAGTAAACATCACTTAATAGACATACTGACGGTTTTACAATTTTGCTCTGGAAATAGGGGTGAAATTAAATTCAAATAGTGTTCGGCTCTTGATGTTGTTTCACCACATGGTGGCGCTCAGAAACCACCAAAGTCGCAGGAACTGCTTATTTTTCATCCAGCAAACCTGAAGCTAAAAGTGGTGATAAAAAACGAAGCGCCCCAGATGTTTTGCGGACTTTCCACAGACAATGAAAGCACCGTATGAACCCAAGAGAATTTGGAAAACACGCAAGTAATCACGAACAAAGAAATCTTGAGAAGATTTAAAGAGTTAACCTCTTGTCGCAAAATACTGTAGGTCGGTTCAAGCTATGGAATGATTCATCGTTAGTGAGGAAACTCCTGTGATGTGCTCTTGTCTCTGACATGATATGTCTGTGGACCTGAAAAACGAAACCAAGCCAAAACAGTTTCTTCCTTATCTGTCAAAAATAAAAAGAAGGTCATAGTGAATAAAAGTTTTTTTTTTTAGATTGGCAGATGTGCAGTGTTTACTTGAAAAGGAAAAACATAATAGACAAAAAAAAAAACACAACTATTTCTGGAGTTGAGGCCGACTAACAGCTGTTGATTTGACTTTCTCAGCCAGGACATTTCACTGGCATGTTTGTCAGCAAATCTCTGCTTCTGCAGGGTCACAACCTAACGGAGCTGACAGGTCTTTTAAGTCACCAGAACCTTATGTGGACTTTTAAATGGTTCAAATGAACATGAATAGTTGATCCAATTAAGTATTTAAGGGTCAACTGAAAACATCGTGGCACTGTAACTCTAGCATCAGTACTGTCTACTCAAGACAAAGAAGGGGTTGCTTGCGTCTCAAAGCAAATAAATCTAACATCCCTTCCTCTGTTTTATGAGGACTACATACAAAATGAATTGCCAGCAACAGGCCAAACAATCAGCTCAATGATCCCTAGGATTAAATCTCACTGTTGGCATGTGTGTGACATGGAGGGTCACCCCTCTGGGATCTCCAGAGAGGTGATTTAATTGGGGATAAGAGAGTGCCGTGCACTTCAAGAGAACAAGAGAAGTGGATACAAAAGCTGTGTAATGGGAAACTGAAACATTTTGTTATATTTATCTACGCAGCACAAACCCAATTCTAGGTTTTGGGCAAGGGGAACATGAGGCAGTCTTCACAGGGCAGAGCAATGAGATGGAGTGCCCAGCTTTTGAGATTATAGGGACAGTATACTAAACCCTTTAAATTAGTCCACTAGAAGTCTCCTCCATGTCTTTGGAAGGTGGGTAAATACTGAAGCTCTCTGAGAAAACACACAGACTCACAAGCACCATGTTTTTTCAAGATTGTTTCCATCAGCACCAGTTTATCAGTGCTTGTGAAACAGATATAACCATGTTTGTATTGCAAATTCTCTGAGACCCTTTCAACATCCAAAATCAGTGAACTTTTTTTTCTAACTCATGACATTATATTCGCTTGTTGAAGCGTTTTGAATTTTCTTATTTAGTAAAGTGTCCAAAACTTGGGAGTTTCCATCAATCAATGTTTGTGTTTTTAATCTAGTCAGACAGTTTTTTTTATTTCGCATAGTTTGCTTAACATACATACCAAGTGCATACTTTCTTTAACTTTTACTTCAGTTATTATTATTAATAAAATAAGTTCACTTGTGACATATTTTACAAAACATTTTCAGATATTATGTAAGATTATATCAGATTTAACAACAAAACCAGATTTCCTTGAAAATTCTATTCCTCCATTTGACACAGAATCCGCCATGATTCCACAATGTACTCCTAATCTTACAAAAACATTGTTAATTTTAGTTTGATTCAACAGCCTTTGTCAGTCTTCACCTGGTAAATTATGATATTTGATGGGATTTGGACCCATTTTTGTAGATTTTTTTAAATCCAAAACAACTGCAACAACCAACATTACTCAGAAACACGATACGGAGATTAATTATAAAGTGCCTCTGGGAGTTCCTCAGATACTCCTCTTTTATTCTAAGGAATAATGGAAAACCCAATTCGTCAGGTTTCTGTTGTTGTTTTTTCCAGCCTCGCATTGTTCTGCTCTTTGCCCAAAGGCAGGTAGTTCCAAAACACAGACTCTTCCACAGGAAGTCTGCAGGAATACCTGCGACCACCACACTAATCTCTCCTCTGCTGCCTCTGCAATTATTGCAGATAACAGACAAAGGAACCAGAGACATAGCCCATAGGCAGGAAAAGCAAGATGCAACTTTTTTCTGTTGTTCAATTTGCGGTCAAATTGCTGTGGAGGTTTTCCGTTCTTCAAAAGTGCCTGCTGAAAGATCACTTTTGTTTGTTGGGTGTGCTTGTAGAACGCTCTGTACCGACGCTAAACAGCATTTTCTGTACAACATAAATCCAGAAAGGATAATGTGATGCCCTATATTTTTACAATTGTTGCCATTTTTTTACATACTTCTTTTGTATCAAAAATGACTTTAATAGGTTTAGAAATACTCCCAAATGTGTTCTATAACCCATTCAAGACTGAGGTGCTCCAGTGTGCCAAGCTGGATTTCCTGTCAATCATCAATGATGCATGTGTGTACACTAATTAATAACAAGGGCTTAAACAATTCTTCTGAGGGGCAAGACAGGGGAGGAGGCCAGGGTGAGAGATACCCCCCTGACACACATTCACACACCACACAAACCCCTTCTGTCACCACTCTACATTCCTGAAGGACTTCTCACAAAGCGAGCAGTGAGCCAGCAGAGCTGCCTAAACTCTGCCTCCTTGTCTCACAGTCTGTGAATGCAATTTGAGGTAAACCACTCTCAGGAAGGCAGGCTGGGAGTTTTAAAAGGAGGTGCTGTGCACAAAAGGGCGCCATGCTCTCTTGCGGTATTGCCCTCTGTGTTAATGGTTTTCAACCTTCTCCCACACGCTGTTTTGTTTCTGGGGACAGAGATGACAAGACCATAAAAATCCAAAACGCACATAAAAACATGTTTTGCTTCAAAAGGTTATGAAAGTCCCACCGATCAATTACCAAAACATCACATATTCCTGGTCAGGGTCAATGGCAACCTGGAAACAGGAGGAACATGCGAACAAGAGGAAAACATGCAGACTCCACAAAGAAGGTATCTTAATATGGAATTAAACCCAGGACCCAGATGTTATGAGGCAGAGACACTAACTGCTAAACCACTGTAATAGCTATGAATAAATATCACATTCTATTCTATGTTCAGCCTTGTTTGTGATATTTCTTTGACATCCGTTTGTTTTGTTATGCTGTCTCGCCTTTATATCAGTAAGAGGTTACCACAGAGACTTGCAGAGCTGCAATAGAGAAAACTACTTGGAATTAAAGACAAGTTCATTATTCATTGTCAGTGTTCTTCCCCTTGAAACATTCTGACGACAGTTAAGTATAAGTTTAGGGGTTCATATTTAATATAATATACCCTGTAAAGCATGAAGAAAACACTAAAATACTGTTAATAACCCAGGAGGCATTTACCTTCAATCAGTTAGTTGTCATTTATAACTACTTCATTCCTTAAAATAATTAATAATTTATCGCATTAACTATTACCCCGAAACTCCTACATTAGACAAACCACTGAAAATAAAGAGGAATGACTAAAATATTCTCTTCCTAACTGAATGATGCTCACAATCTCTAACAAAAGTACTTCACATGAGATTAATTAGTCTTCTTGAACTTTAACCTTACAGCTACTTTTGTACTTGCCTGCAAACAGGGAATATGACAGGAAAGCATGTTCCTGAAATAAAGGAACATTTACATCTGCTGGAAAAAAAAATGCACTGTCTGCCTGCCCTTGATATGACGTTATCCCCGTGAGTCTTAAAAAATTACAATCAGAGCTTGTAATAAGCTTGCATTTCCCAAAAGGAGGGTGCTGTGATCTGTAGATGTTCGATAAATAATCCAGTTAACATTCTCCCACATTGTCCTGTTTATATGAAAGTCCAAGCGTGCAAAATATGCATCCTGAGTTCCCCACACAGGAGCCCTCCACCAGAGTCATTTCAATTCTACTGAAGGCCCTTGCATGCATTCTCCTGGTCTCGCTCTGGTGAGCAATGGAGAGGGAGTCTGACTTCTCTGTCATGAACTCTGTCATGAACTGGTCTGCCTTGAACTGAGAGACAGCAGCTCTGCTGTCCAGAGGACCGTCGTGACACTTTCTTGTGGTCATTGGCTGGCTGGTCTACTGACACTTGAGGAGAAAAAAACGGCCTCAGAGGATAATTGCTTCCTCCAGCATCGTCCTTTCATCTCTCCGTTCAAGCCCTTTTATAAAGCTGCTGGGGTTTGGTCACATAGCTCCCAAGGCAGGGCAAGGCTACAGTCTGGTTTGCATTTGAAAAAGCATCTGGGC